CGGGTTCTCCAGCCACGCCAAGCTAGCGGTGACTGGCCGCAGTCAGGTGAGTGCTGGCCGTGGCCGTGGAGGCAGCGGCCAGAGGGTGTGTGAGCACTTGGGTGTGGGTGGGTGCTGCAGGGGCGTCATCGGGCTCTGCACTGGCACTGGTGAGTCAGTGGGCCTCTCTTCGAGACACTGGGCCTCTCTTGTGCAGTGGAGGGTCTTGTCCCACGTACCTAAAGAAGTCCTGATCGTGGCACCGCTTGGTCAGACTGGGATCTTGGTTAGAACTGCAGCAACCTGTCAGTTCAGTGTGGTTAGAAGTAACAGGAGAAGTTGGGACAGTCTCAGCTGTCTGTGTATGTGAGTATATATGTATCCTTTCTGGACTGGATTCAGGGGGATCTGTGTGGCAGTGGTGCTGTTTGCCAGTTGGCACATGAACAAAGGAGTACAACATAGTATATAGCAGGTGGTAACGTGCTTCCCTGAGATAGTGACTTAGCATCCTGCAGCAAGAGTTTTGCTGTGCAGCCCCTGTATTGCACTGCTGCAGCTGGTCCGAGAACTGAGCTCCACACAAACTGTCGTGGTCTCTATAACCTAAACTAGCAGGAACGGACACACGTTCCACCCAGGGATAAAACTGCTTCTACAGCATTGTGGAGCCTTATAACTTGGTTCGTGGAAAACCCAGCTAGTGGGAAGCCCAGCTGACACTGAAACTTTTTGTGTAATGCTTTTTCTATATGTTTGGCTCTCTGGAAAGAGCTGAGAGTGTGGGTACACTGCTTGACACCAGGAGGTGGCAGCCAGACAGTGCACAGTGATTCAGTCACATAAAACACTGTGATGTTAGAAACTTGTCTTTTACAGATCACAGCTTATTTCATATAATCTTAATTAAGCAAGGTTTTGCCTGAGATCTTTAAGTCTGTTGGAGCATGAAAACCTGCCATATGGGCTGTCTAGGTTTGGGGGATGAAAAATACAAGCTTGGAAATGAAATTCATTCAAAGTTAAATTGGTGGGAATGAGCAGGGAGTTTGTATTGTATTCCAGCCCTTTTCCTCCTTACTGACTGAAGAATGGGACATACAGCTTTCCATAGCTGGCAAAGTGTAACGATAAAGCTGTTGCAAGATGCGATGTGCCAACATAGTTATGGCAGCTTCTGCCTTTTCCCCTAAAGGACAAAGCTGAGCAGCATGCACAAGTTACAGTTCCCTTCTTTTTTGCCCCATGGAGCTGTCCATGCTTGTTTGCATAGCAAGGAGCAGAAGAGAACTGAGGGACAAGGGGATGTGATCTCACACCATCTCACCTGCTCCACCACTGCTGCCTAGGTGTAGTGTGTACTCTGCACTCTGTGATCAGTCTTGCATAAAAGTTACAGCTATATGCAGCTCTAGGTTTTTGTCTGGGTTAAAGCTCAGAACGTGCTTTTGTTTGGGTTGGAACCGTCCCACGTTGCTTTGAGGGTTTAGGGCAGATCACTGATGTACCGATAGTTCTACAGCGCCCTCCCAACAATTTTCCCCTGGAGGGCTGGACAAATTCAGAGTTAGCATAGCTGACCGGGAAGAAATCTTATGTACTCAGAACCATGGGAGATGCTCCCAGCTCCACACACCAAATGCATGCAGTGAAAACATGGTTGCGTGGGTAAGGCTGTGATGTGGCTCTGCTCAAATGGCCAAAGCAAGAGCCTAAACCTGTGTGCTGGTCACCCAGATTCTCTGTTGAAAAAAGTATTCCTTCAGTTGCTTGCAATTTCTGCTTATGTAACTGAAGCACTTTAAACAGAGAAACATAAATGTTACTGTGTGTGTTTCCAGATGAACGAGTGGCTGTGATAAAATTAGTGGCACTTCTAGCTTTAGAAAACGCTTCGTTAAGTGAGAGACAAGGAGAAAATAATACTGTTCTGGAAATAACAGCAAACGAGATCAGCTCTTTTGCTCCTGAAAACATTTACTGGTTGAGTTCCTTTTACTGTGTGGTCAATGCAGTGTTTATACCAGCAAAGGGCTGGCTTCTGTGTCCTTCAACATTTCTAGCAAAATACTTGGATAAGCATTAATAGTTCCTTACTCAGATTGCAGATTGGCTATGGGAGATTCTGAGCATCTTCAGTATGTGAAATATGATTTTGTAATATTGCTAGATTATTTTTAAGGCAATTTCTTTGTAAAAAGTAAATGAAGGAGTTTCTAGCATAGATCAGAAGTAAAGACATGAACCTGCTTTTAATTCTCCAAATCTTTGGGGAATCTCTGCTGTGCAGTCCTTAAAATCAAAATCTGTTATACAAGAGTCTTAAGTGCTGCTTTAAGTGGAACCAGCTGCCTTTGGTCCTGGTAGGTCAATCTAGCAAGGGGATTGTTCTAGCAGGATCATCTTTTATTTGTCCCAGTTTCCTGCAGAAGAAACAGTGGCATCAAAAACGTCGTGTTGCAAAGCGTTTGTGCTGTCTGTATTCCCTTGAACTGGGTTCCCTAGGTGTTGAGGAAGGCCTCTTTAAGGACTGGGGGTTGGTTGGTTGTTTTAACGTGAATAACAAAAAGGGCTTATTTAATAGAGTTTTTTATGGAGAGGTTTCAGTGTCATTGACTCCTGCAAAGCAGGGTAATTTGGAAGGTAATTGGAGTTTGTTAGCTTTAATATGAGATGGTAGGTGGTGGTACCTTTCACTGAGATAATTTGGAGCCCAGGTTGTTACACTGAGCAATCTTAGTTGTGGCACTCTTCCAAAAGGTCTTTGCTCATCTTTCTTGCTCCGTGTTGGACATCTGGTGGATTTGAGATATTAATAGTAAAAGGTGACTTGCTTTTTGCCATTCACAAGACTAGTAAATGCACTTATTCAGTTGCTACAGCTAGATTTGGAACTATTTGGTTGTTCTTTCACTTAGTCTTCAACTAGGTAAATCCTTCTGAAAATTGTGAATTTTATAAACTAAATAAGGACTAGACCTTCTGTATCTGGAAACAGAAGGTGTGTTTAAAAGACTTCGGAAATTAGCTCTGTGGAGCATTTCAATATCTTTGGATTATGACTCCAGAGCAGAAAGGAGATGTCCAGATTTGGCCCTGACAATACCAAATATACAAACTCATGCATCAAAACTCTTGTGACTAGTTTAAAAGTTACGATATTTTAAAAAAATTAGATGGGGTTTGCCTTCTGTTTTGTTTTATTTTGTTTTGGTTTTGGAGCCTTTATGCAGTACTTGTGGTATATGGGGTTTTCTTTTGTCCATAAACACTGGGGCTAGGAGCTGGTGTGAAATTTTTGGCTAATGTAACGTGATTCCTGGAACTGGAACTATATGACTTGATCAAGATTGTGAGAGTTAGTCATTTTACAAACTAGAAATGATTTTTCATAGTTTCAGGATATTTACATCTTTTTAATGGTAAGACCTATATGTAACAAATGATATTTGGGCCAATGAGAGATGGTCTTCTGTGAGACCAGAACCCCCACTATAATAGGTTCTGTAGACAAATATAATTGGGATGGTCTCCGTCTCAAAAAGATCAAACTATAAAAACCATGATAGAAGCAACATTACTTGGCAAATACTACCAACTGGTTCTCCTGTACCTTGTGTGATGTCTCAATGCATTAATATTCTGTTTCTCCAGTAATGTTGTCCAGGCAGAAGTTGCTTCTTCTGAAGGAACTGGGCAATTCTCTCTTCTTGTGGTGGTTTATTTTGGCAAAACATTTGAGAATAGCGCTTTAGCTGTTAAATGCTAGATCTGTTCCATCATTTTTGTATCTGATACAAGATGCATTAGATGTATTTCTCAGGATAGAGGACAGGTCTCTGTGAATCAGAGGTGTCCCCCCTCTTGCTTCTGATGCTTAGTGTTTCATTTTTGAAGGTGAAAATTGTGTCAGTGCTCTGAAGAGTTCCAGTCAGATCTGCGGTATGGAGGAAGTACCTATGAAATTCAGTTCCCTCCAGTTCCAGAGAATTCTGACTGTTAAAGGCAGCAGGGTAAATGTCACTTAAATGTGAGTTGCTTAAGTTGCTGAGTTGGCAACCCAATGTAGTGTTAAAGCATTGATGATCAAAAAATCCCACATTATGTATCAACTGAGATTTTTATCAGGCTGGATTTGTATCACTTTGTTTTAGGGATGGAGAAAGGGGGTTGTATGTTTTTGTTGTCATTTTCCTGATTGCAGGAGGAGAATCCTTAGTATTGCTGTGCACGAGAGTTGATTCTATGTCAGATAACTGTATCTCTCCTTAATCCATACATAGGGGATGTTTGTTTGTCTGTACTCGCACTTGTGCACAAATGCACTGCTGTGACTGCAATTTCTAATTTTTGGCCGTTCAAATAACCTTCATATGAAGAGTCCAGTCTACCCACTCTTGCCAGAGAATCTTTTATACAGCTCAGGATTCTGACCAAAATGTTTCTGTCCTGGACTTAGGCTACCTGTGCCCAGAGAGTTGCTCTAAACCTTTCTAGTAAGCTGCACTTGACATGGTGAGTTAGCAAGGATTAGTTGGCATTTCCATGAATACAAGAGCCTGCTCCCCCAGCCTCTCCATTTTTTCTTGCTGTGAGCTCTGAAGCAGCTGTAAACAACGGGAGCCAAAGGTTTACTTCTGTAGCAGTTCTAAAGTTTGGGAAAGTTTGAGATTAAACCTGGTATCCTGGCCTTATCCTTTAATTATGATCATGTCTGTAACGTCCACGTTTTGGTTCAATTCTTGCTGCTGATATCTAGGGAAGTTTTTGCTAGTGCATGACAGGAGACTGCTGGCAATTTCTCCTCAAAACTGGGGAAAATAGCATTTAATTGAAAAGATGTTGAAGAGCGCTTGCTATGGAAACTGGGGAGTCGGTGCTTTTTCTTTAAAAAAAAGAAATAAATAATGCCTAGATTGTTCTTTACTGAATTTTCATCTTTTTTTCTTCTCTTTTCTTTTTTTCTTCTGCCATGAAATGTGAGAAGCTGAGTAAGCTCTAGAGTAAAATGAAAAATGAAAATGCAGCTCTGCAACATGTCAAAGGTTAGGGGAAGTTTTGAAAAGT